CGCGCTGGGTCCGGCCATTACAGACCGGTGGAGCCCACGGAGGCTCAGCCGTCGCTGACCCGACCGGGTCCTGTCCCTCCTGGTCCCCTGCCGCGTCTGTGGGCGATACCGCTGCTCCTCACCCCCAAGCCCAAATAAACCCCTCCATCTCCACGTCCTTCTACCGTTTTCTCGTTTAACAACCGGTCCGAAGGCTTCAGAGGCATGGGTAAGCCTCTCCCTGGAAAGCACCGTCCGTTGCGCTGTCGGCACAGCGCAGGGTGCGATTCAGAGCTGGTTCTGGCGAGCTGGCAGGAGGAGGGCGGCCCCGATGTGAAGCAGGGGGGCTCTCCAGCCTCGGCAAGGAGAAAAAAAAAAAAAAACAAACACAACAATTCACATGCAGAAACCCCCGGGATGAAGCCTGCAGCCATCACTGAAGGGATGCGGGAACCTTCCTGGACATGCTGCTGTGCCCCCAGGAACCATCTTACATCAACCTTGACGGTGCTTTAGCCTAAACACAAAAAACTAAAGCCAAGCTGGAGTGCAATCACCTCTTGTCTGAGTTTAACAGTGAGCGTAAGAACCCCATAAAATCCCGAGCAGAGGGTGATCTCCTGAGGACAGAGGGACCAGCAAGAGGACGGTCCCTCTCCCTCACCAGCTTTCCTGGTGGGACTCCATATGGAGCCGAAACCTTTCTGTTTGGGTGAGTGCCACCCCTGGGCTGGACCCGCTCTCTCACCTGCGGTGCCCACCCCAGTTCACCTACAAGGGCGGCCACTCGCGTCCCCCGGTCCCCTTTTCCCCACCACGAGCTCACAAACAGACCCTCTCACTCCCCTCTAGGCCTGTTGCTTTCCCTGAAACAACTTCACCCTCAAAAAGCACCAGCCCCTCCTCATTCCGGCTTGCGCCCGTCTGCCTTATGGCCCCAAACATCCACCTAAACCTGCTTAAGAGTATACCTGTGATGAACTTGCACCTTTCCTGGAGCACAGCCGCCTTCACATCGCATTATCTGTCTGTTTTCTCTCCCACGTTCATGAAGATGAAGACAACCTCTGTGTCACCCTAGCTAAAAAGATGTCAAGCATGGCCGGGAAGCGTCCCTTGAGGGGGGGAGCTGTAGACATGGGGCACTTTCTTTCTCCGATTCCTGCCTGGCTTAAAAGGAAAAACAGTTACGTATGTGTCACCCATCAGACCCACTCTCCCCTGTTTTGGGTAGTCGCTCTCTCCACTAATTCACCCGGCTCTAGCTTGCACAGCAGCAGGTCGCTCCCCAACTTGGTCCCCTGATCTTGGCTCTCTTCCCATCTGCTCCATGGTGGCATCAGCGGTGACTTCAGGTCACAACTAGCCCGACAGTCCTTGGTGCTCTGCCCTGGGACAACTTCAATGCTGAGCCCCCTCGGGAACAGCATCACAGTTTGACATGATAGATGTCATTTAGTGTCATCGGAAGGATGAGCCTCTGAACAGCTTCAGGAAATGCTGTCGTTCCTGGGGCTTTAGGTATCCGAGTGGCACACGGTCAATAGTCCTCCTACACCAAGTCAGGAACAGTTGTCCACCAGCTCCATTTTTGGGGCAACAGTGTTTGACTAAAGACCACCGAAGAAACACAAAGGATTGCTACTACGAAGAGAATATTTTATTACTTATAACACTTCATTCAGCTAAATCCACATAGCAATACACAGAGAAATACTTCAGGAAAGTGCAAATTCTCACTCTGTATTTGTAATATGCCCTAGTTTTACAGAAGAACAGACACTGGGTAAACAGGAGTACAGATCCAGAACTCCCCAGGATTCTAGACAAGGAGAACGATGCAACTTCAGATACTTCAATCACCTCATACAAAGCTACTCTTGAGCACGCAAAGGGCGGGGGAGGATGGAAAACGTGCTGCGCACCAGGAATTTGGTGTCAGGATGGACTCTGATCATCCAGGCATCACCACGCAAAGAGCCCCCCTCTCTTACTTGGGGAGAGAAGAGGGCAAAAAGGGGGGGAAAGACAAAACAAAGTGATGACAATAATAGTTTTACAATTGAAGAGAATATCCAAGTGTTTTCTAAAGCTTTTGGAAGTGCTTTCTAAAGCAGACCACACGTTCCACCCTGCCCCAAATGACAGAAACCATCATTCCACCTTGTGGCTTCTCCCTCAGTACTCGGATAGTTTCGCACGAACACCCTCCCTTTAATAAAGCAGAAACTGAAATCCCTAATACTTCAGGAGCCAAAGAGGGGACACAAAGTGCTACTTGAGTACCGCTAAATCAGGGAGTAACGCCAGAAATTTCAACATGCAGGTATCCTCCAAGCAAAGATACAGCAACAGCTTGAGATTAGTCAAGAACTGCCCGAGGCAGGTCAGAGCCCCAGGCAGTGTGTACTGCATGTTGTAAGTCACCTCAACGTCTGAAACAGAAACACAGAGAGTTTTAATTCTTAATTTAGTCTGTGGATGACACAAATAAGCATTTCCCCTCCTTAAAAGGAAGAACCAGGTATTTAAGATTAAAGGAAATTAGGAGACCTACTCAGGCAAGATCCCAGTTCTCCTGCAGCCCAAGGGAAGCCTGGCTCCTTCGAGTTGCATCTTGCTGGGGATGCAAGTGACGGGAAGGCCGGGTGAAGCAGAACCGGCTCACCATCTGAACAGGACACCGCGCCAACGGCAAACACAAAGCAGGGGCTACGCTACTTTGGGCTACAGCTAGAGTTGTACTTGGAGCTTCCAGCCAAACTCCCCCGTGTTAAACACGCTCCCTCCTTCTCTTCCACGCAAGAGTTTATGATTTCGCTCATGCCGTGGCAGGAAGCATCCTTTAGAGTTGCAGGAGGAGAGACATGAATAGCACTTGAAGCTATTTAAACTACAGACTGGACGCTCTATCACAACTGGAATAAAAAACTTGGCTACAAGCTCTGTCTCGTAGACATTCAAACTTGCCTGGCAAGCCTCCTGTACTTATAAAGGTCCTATCCTAGGCGCACGGAAACACAACTTTACCACATATCTGAGTAAGACAGAGGTTAAGCCTGTCACATCAAAAAGGGAAAAGACAGAAACAAGCCCCCCTAGTTTTATCAAATGCTAAAAGCAAATCATTGGCTTAAACTGTAATCATACAGTCGATGACCTGCTGTAGACCAACCTTTGAAAAGGTGTATTTTAACTGGAAGCGCCTAGTAAACAACATCCGCAAGGTACTTTGATCTATTCTCTGCTTCCTACTCAAGTTTGAAAAGCCTTTGTTCTCATTTGAAAAGTACTAAAGAACAGCTGACAACTGAAAGAAGGTTGTGCACAAGCCCAACAAGCTCCAACACGATGTATAACAAAGCTACAGGGCAATGAAATAAGAGAACTAGAGTCCTTCACAGTAACAGAAGTAAGGGAAGCAAGATCAGAGGGAGGAGATAAAGGAGGAGTTCCACAAATGGAACAGTATAAATATATCAAACGGTTCAAATACAGTAGGAAAACAGTAGCAGCAGTTTAAAACCAGCAATAGTTATTATACCCTTAAAGTACATTCAACACATTGTGCCTGTTGCTGTCATTCCAAAAGCACTACTATGTCTATAACTGACTGCTCAAATCCATCGATGAGAAGAATCCCAGATACGTAACTCCCTGTATTTGTTTTTTATCAAAGATATTTAGACTATGAACAGTTACCAACTTCTAAGAATGCTGATTTGAAAACATAATCACAATTTTCTTCCATACTGCATTTATAACACTTGCCTACTGATATAAAGCAGATCTCTCTGGGAAATTGGGGATTCCTGCTCTTTGTAGGAGCACAAACATAACTCCTAATGCTAACTGCTACAATATACACACAGCAGGTCTCATCGCACACTACGCTTTTCACAGTGTTCACCTTTGTTCAAAATAATGTTCCAAGTCGCTTGTTCTCTTCTGAACGACTAGTAGGCTATTTAAAAACAAAATCCAAAACGCCTAAGGCTTTAATCTGCTGCCAGTGGAACAAGCGGCAACACCTCCTTCAAATTCAGTGCAGTCGGGATCCAGATCTGCACCTTTTCGTGAAAACCAAAGACAAAGCAGCAGTCAGAAATGCCTTCACACCTTCTGAGACCTACCCAGCGCTGTACAATAACAGAGTATACTCTAAGCGTAAATGCTTTCACTCGTTTTCCCCACATCAGTCAAATGTACAATTAAGGAAAAAAAAAAAAGAGGTTTTTGGCATTAGATACATTTCACTCAATTGCAGAACAATTTGGAAATACTTCCTCTTAAAATAAAAAATAAATAAATATCGGTGGCAAATAAGAATTTGTGCAACACAGACCTTCTGCAGTACATGTACATTCATATACAGCAAAATACGTATCCACGGTTATAGTGCAAAGCTTCTGTCAGCATGAAATACCCAATACCCGCACAGACACAGAACCCTTGGTGCTCTTTAAAGCCAACTAGCTGCAACACATACAAACCCACTCTGCGCAATCCTGTGGCATCAAGCTGTAAGGGTATAATAAGATGGAGAACAAATTTAGAGATTTAACAACAGTGGCAAAACAATGGCTTGAACTTAAGAGCATCTTAGGCGCTCCTCATGTAACCTTCACTGCAGAGGTTGTGTTCAGTTTTATCTACTTCTTCCACAGCTTTTCTGTGCCAAAACATGGCTTTTATTTTCTGAAAACATAGATATCTACATGAGAATGTCTGTATCAGTCTATTTTTTTCAGAAAGCGATTAGCAGTATCACTTTCTGCTCAAGCAAAGGTAGGAAACAGATAATGGGAAGCTGTTAAAAATCTGCCCTAAAAGGTAAAGAATAATACTATTTGCAAACTGCTGTTCTAACAGAAATTGGTTTACAAGATGTGATAAAACAAAAAAAAAAAATCACCATTTAGTTAAAAAATCAAGGGTGTCAGCATCTCACTTCCACTTTCTTCCTTTTTTTTTTAAATACACAGACAGTATGAGTTCAAGCCATCAAAAACCAAAGAAGTCACTAACTGGAATTTTCAAAGTTACTGAATTTCTGAAACCTTTATAAAAAAAAAGCTTAAGTCCCTTCAGGGATGCAGGACAAAAAATGGTTACAAAGCCTACAGTAGTTAGAATGGGCAATTTAACCAAGGAACGAACGAGTTTCTGCTCCTTTGGAAGCCTTGGAAAGGCACTATGCAGCCCAAAACCCAGACTGCAAGTGGAACTGCATGTGTTGCCACTATTGTTTCACTGCCAAGTAAATATTTTAAGATACACACAGGAAAGATACAATGCACCAAGAGCACCTTTAACAACAGAAGGATACTTAAGTAGCTGAAAAATGTCATATTGAACAACTTGCCTAAACAAGAAATGCTAAGCACTGAACCGAACTCCACTTCAACATTTTTGGAAATTAAGACCTGTAACAATGATGCCTACATTCACGCCCAACAGCTAGGAAGAAGCAGGCTTTTTTGTCAGTTTGAAGTGATCGCTTCCTTCAAATGCTATGACTACCCCATTTTAAAGCCTTTTCACACAAAAGGTATTGGGTACTTGAAATTAGTTTAAGACAAGATCTACTGGCTAAGATCAGCTGTCTTAAACCCACTAGGGCAGTTCATTTGCATTGGCGTGGGTTAATTAGTCTCTTGGTCAAAAGGACAGGAAACTGTACTAATAAATTCCGTCCTTTCCTCTCACTTCCTCTCCTTATCCCAATTTTCTAGCCCAGACTTTGGTGAAAAGCCTGACAAAAGAATGCTGCTTCTTTATAGAATAAAACTGTAGCTGTTTAACACACATACACGCACGCACACGTATTAAACTGAGTTCTGTTCTTGGTTCCTTCGTTTCATATGACGCAGTGCAGGCGGTCATTTCTTTGAACACCAGTTAGAGGAGATCTAAGCAGAGCGCCAGATCAGTCCATTCTTATCAGGTTCAAGAAAATTCTCAATCAAAGCTTCAATAAGCTTCTGAAGTTCTTCTTCCAGCACGGTTCTGTCACTAGAAAGAGAACAATACCACGTCAGAGGTTCGATAAACACAAAGCATCTATTTAAAAAAAAAAAACCCAAACAAGATCTGATGGTGATGAACCAGCTCCATTATGTTTCCTACCAGCATCAACGTGTAGAGACTCCAACCTGCTTGCTTTAAGAAGCTACTTTTCGGCAGGGACTACTGCAACATTAATTGAAATTAATTTAATTAAAGAAAAAAAAAATCGCTACTAGAGGGCTCTAAGCTAGCAGAGAGAACACAAGAACTAACGACTGCAAAACCAATGCAAGACTGGTCAGACAGACTGTAAATGGATTAAAAAGTAAAAATGAGGTACTAATCGAAGAGGTAGGTACCCTGTATTCTTCTCTACACGGCATCCAGATGCCCATCGAGGGTATCTGACTGTATTTTGACTAAAGCGCATTTTAGGAGTATCGAGTAATCAGGCAAAGTGTCACAGCTCACAAGAGGTCACCATAATATACTGATCCTTCCCCTTTTTACATGCCCAGACATTCATAGAATCATAGAATCATTAAGGTTGGAACAGATCTCCAAGATCATCGAGTCCAACCGTCAACCCAACACCCCCAGGCCCACTAAACCATGTCCCTCAGCGCCTCATCTACACGTCTTTTAAATACC